GTGAGGGGGAGGAGGAAGGGGATTGGGTACGGGGCCTTGAGTGCCGCTGGATTGGAGTGAGCTTTGAGCTACTACTGAACTTTTTGTCTGTTGTGTTTCGTTGTGGTTGGGTGGGAGGTTTGTATGGTGTTGTGGTGGTTCCATTGATGTCGCATGGCATACTCTTGCATGGCATACTCACTTACATGGCATACTCTTTCTTCTACACTGACGCACTCAAGTTTGCTTTTGCGTGCAGCATGGACTGTCTTCTCTCTTCATTTGGCTTTCAGCATCCTTCTTCTTCTTTTCACGCCCCATCGTTGGGACTCAACTCATATGGCATATCAAGCAGGGGCATATCAAGCAGAAAGACATCTTTAACACGAACACACACAACTATGATCAAACCAACCGCAATCATAAATCTCCTTTACCCAACTTCCCCTACCGATCTTCACGCATGTACTGTACATTACATGTTAGCATATGTTTCCCTCCCTTCTCGCTTACAGTTTATGCACACCATCTTCGTCATATACCCCATTCAGTATTTACATAGTTACATAATGTATCACTACGAAAGAAGAAAGCATTGTTTTTAAGTCTGATGGCTATGATGCTGGTACACATTTGCTAAATGTCTATATGCATATATGTGGTATGTTCTTTTTCCCTTTCCTGGTTTCATATTCTAAATAGAAACGCTGTCTATGCATGTCTTTGCTATCGTCGTCGGTGGGGATATCATGTATCCAGATCCCCACCCCCCTTTTTACAAGTCTTCGAACTTCGTTATGCCATAACGTACATGTAGTAGTATAATACAATTCGTATCGCCCCCGTCCCATCATATGCCAATTCCCCTTCCGTCAAAAGTTTCACAAAAATCCCATCACGCACCCGCATCATCCATCTCATAATCAGGATCAACCTCGGTCCCCAAGTCCCTCGCCTCCAGAAACCGCCGCCCCGTCAGCTCCTCGGGCAGATAGCGCTGCTTGACCTTGCCGTCCCTGTAGTTGGGCGGATACTTGTACTCGGCGCCGCAGCCCAGGTCGCGCATGAGCCTATCGCGCATCAACCTCGTCGGCGCGTTGCGCAGGTGCAGCGGCACAGGCAAGCTAGCGACGCCGGGCTCGCGCAGGGCGGCAAAGGCGTTGTTAAGGCCGCGGTACGCGCGGGTGCTCTTTGGCGCGAGGCAGAGCGCGACGGCGCAGTGTGCGAGCGGGATGCGGGCCTCGGGGAGCCCAATCTGCTGGGTGGCGGTGTAGGTGGACGTGGCGAGGGTGAGGAGGGAGTTGTCGGCGAGGCCGACGTCCTCGGAGGCGATGACGACCATGCGGCGGGCGATGAAGAGGGGGTCCTCGCCGGACTGGAGCATGCGGGCGAGGTAGTAGAGGGCAGCGTCCGGGTCGTTGCCCCTTACAGACTTGTGGAAGGCGGAGATTGTGTCGTAGTGCTGGTCGCCGGCGCGGTCGTAGACGAGCGTCTTGGTGAGGGACTGCTTGATGGCGTCCTTGGTCATGCCGTCGCGGAGGGTGAGCGAGAGGGCGAGCTCGAGCAGGTTGAGCGCGGTGCGGGCGTCGCCGTCGCTGAAGCGCGCCAGGTACTCCATCATCTCGTCGTCGATGAGCGGCGAGGGCGGGTACACGGATTCCTCGGCCTTGCGCGCGCGCCGCAGGATGGCCACGACGTCGTCGGCGCCCAGCGGCCGCAGGGTGAAGGTGCGGCAGCGCGAGAGCAGCGCGTTGGCCACCTTGAAGGACGGGTTCTCCGTCGTGGCGCCGATGAGGGTGATTGTGCCGGCCTCGACGGGCCGCAGGAAGACGTCCTGCTGGGCCTTGTTGAAGCGGTGGATCTCGTCGCAGAAGATGATGGTCTTGCGCCCCGTCAGCTGCAGCTCGCTGGCCGCCTCGGCGAAGAGCCGCTTGCACTCCTGCACGCCCGAGCTCGTCGCGTTGAGCTCGATGAAGCGCCCACCCACCATGTGCGCGATGCACCGCGCAATCGTCGTCTTGCCCGTGCCGGACGCGCCCCAGAGGATCATGGACGGGACGCGGTTCGACTCGATGAGCGAGCGGAGGACGCCGTCCGGGCCGACCAGGTCTTGGCCGCAGACGTCGTCGAGGGTTTTGGGTCGCATGCGCTCTGCTAGGGGGGCGGCGCGATGGGTTTTTGTCTTTTTGATCTTGCGGCCGTCTTCGTCTGCGCCGTTGCCGTTGACTGCTGCTGCTGCTGACGCCGCGTCTTCCATGGGCCGGTCTTCCATGTGCTTGTCCCCTCCTCCCGTTCGTCTGTTCTCCTGCCGGGGCGTGTCTCCG